TTTGTGTAGAATTGCCAATATGATTATATTAATTCTTCTGATCCAGGAACATGAGATGTCCTTTCATTTTTTTGGTGTCATTTTCAATATCTTTTGAAAGATTTTTAGGGAACCAGCAGTTAGCGTAATGGCTATGTCGCTGGACTCCCATGTAGTCGACCGCGGTTCGCGTCCCGGACCTGGTGGCTTAAAACCCATGCCGGGCGCGTGTGCGTGCGTGCCCAAGATCCCGAGAAGAGAATGGAGGAAAAGGGATTGCGGCATGGCCATCCCCTCTGGGGGGTGATTTCTCACTTTCTGTCTCTCTGTCTCTCTCTATCTGTCTGGCGAGCGCACGCGCCTTATAGTGAAAAACCTCTCAAAAAAAAAAAAAAGAGAAAAGAAAAGATTTTTTATAGTTTTCTTTGTAAATGTCTTGGACTTTTTTTAGTTAGGTTTATCCCTAAGTATGTTATACATTTTGTGGCTATGATAAAAAGGATTCATTTCTTCAGTTCTACCTTGTTTATCATGTTGTTTGTACATAGAAATGCTATAGATTTTTGGATGACAATTTTGTATCCTGACACTTGACTGTACTCATTTATTAATTCCAGAAGTTTATTCATGGAATCCTTTGGGTCTTCTAATTATATTATCACATCATCTGCAAACAAAGATATTTTCAACTCTTCTGTGCTTATTTTCTGATTGCATTGACTGAGTCTTCCAGCAGTATAATGAAAAGGAGTGAAGAAAGTGGGCTGGTATGTCTTGTGCCCATTTTTAGTGGAAAAGTTTTTAGTTTTTCCTCATTCAGTATAATGTTAGCTATAGGTTTTTCATATATGGCTTTTATTTTGTTGAAGAATGACCCTTCTATACCAATCTTGCTAAGAGTCTTAATCATTATGGGATGTTGTATTTTATCAAATGCTTTCTGTGTATCAATTGATATAATCATATGGTTTTTATCTTTGTTTCTGTTAATATGGTGTATTATGTTTGTGGGGTTTTGTATGTTGAACCACCCTTGCATCCCTGGAAGAAAGCCTACCTGGTTGTGATGAATAATCTTTTGTATATGTTGTTGGATACAAATTGCAAGTATCTTGTTGAGAATTTTTGCATCTATATTTCTCAGAATTATTGGTCTGTAGTTTTCCTTTTTTTTGTCATGTCTTCATCTTTTTTGGGAATAAAGATGATGGAGGCTTCAAAAAATGAATTTAGGAGGTTTCCTTACTTTGAGATATTTAGAAATAATTTAAATAGAATGGGGGTTAACTCTTCTTTAAAAGTTTTGTAGAATTCAGAAGAGAAACCATCTGGTCCTGGGTTTTTCTTTGTTGGGAGGTTATTTATTATTGATTAATCTCATGGCTTGTCATGGGTTTATTCAGGCTTTGTATATCCTCCTGATTAAATCTTGGTAGATTATATGCATCCATAAATTTGTCCATCTCCTGCATGTTATCTTGTTTGTTGGCATATAGTCATATATCATATATCTTCTGATGCTGTTTTGTATTTGCTGTGTCTGTTCTGATATTGCGTGTTTCATTACATATTTGATTTATCTGATTTCTTTCTTTCTTCTTTATTAATTTTGATAATGGTGTGTCAATCTTGTTAATCTTTTCAAAGAACCAGCTTGTGCTTTCATTTATTTTCTGTGTAGTACATTTATTTTCTCTTTCATTTATTTCTGCTCAGATCTTTATTAATTTTTTTCACGTGGCATTTTTTTTGCATTTTTTTAGTTATTGTTTTTCTAATTCCTTGAGACATGTTACGTTGTCTCTTTGCCACCTTTCTATCTTTTCCTTATGCACACTAATTGCTATGAAATTCCCCATTATCACTGCTTTTGCAATGTTCCATAGATTATGGAAACTCATGTACTCATTATCATCTGTTTCCATAAATTTTAAAATTTCATACTTAATTTCTTCAGTAGTTGAGAAGTCATTCAGAAGTAGGTTGTTTAGTTTACATGTGTTTGTGTATTTTCAAGGGTGTTTCTTGAAATTAATACAGTGTTTAATTCTATCATGGTCAGAGAAGATGCTAGATATCGTTTTTATGCCTTTGAATCTGTAAAGGCTTGATTTGTGTCCTATCGTATGGTCAATCTTTCAAAGGGTTCCACATAGAGGTGGGAAAAATGTATATTTTGTGGTCTTAGGGTAGAAAGTTCTATAGATGTCTTTCAAGTACATTTGATTTATATTATTGTTTAGGTCCTGTATCTTTTGGCTTATTTTTTGTCTGGAAGATCTGTCTAAAGGAAATAATGGGGTGTTGAGTTTCCCAACAATTATAGTATTGCAATCTATCTCTTCTTTTAGTTCTCGCAGTCTTTCCTTCGTATATTAGGTACTCCTGAGTTGGGTACATAGATATTTATTAGCGTTGTGTCTTCTTAACGAATTAACTCATTTACTACTATATAATGCCCTTATTTGTTTCTTCTTACTGTTTTTGTCTTAAAGACTATTTTGTCTGAAATCAGTATTGCATTAGCTGAAGAATCTCTCCATAAGGCGAGCACCACCATGCCAGCCCAGAGAGTCCTGAAATTGGAATAAAAGTGCAGCAGCAGTGAGAGGTCACCTGAGTGGGATGGTCAGCCTTTGCATTCTCAGTGGCAGGTCTTACTCTTGTTGTTTGTTGGGGTCTTCTTAGAAAGCTTGGTTTCTTCAGGGATCTATTGCCCAGTGGGATTGCAGAGGGCTCTGGAGCTAAGCCTGTATGAGGCACCCAGGCTGCACCAGTGCCTAGAATGGGAACTGCAGTGGGAAACTTCATGTAGGAGTCAAGTCTACAAGAAAATGGACAAACTTTGCTTTTCCAAGATGTGCTGTGAGGCTCAGTGACTCAGTGGTGGGTATGACCCCATGTTGAACACTATTGTGTAGGAGCAGTATGAATCCCTGAGGTGGGTTGCAATGGCATTGTCAGGTTTACAGATTCTCGTTCACTGTATTTACTACATTCCTAGCTTATATTTTACATACTGCACTGAAAAATGTCACATCACATCTCCTACTCTATGATAGGTGTGCTGACATGAGTGAAATGTAAAACTACTTCATTTCTCTCTGGTGGCCTCTGACTCATGGACTCCAGGAGTCTGTCATGAAGGAAGAGGCTGTGATTATGGGCCCTGTACTACTCAGGCTGAGGTGCTATGACAAAAACACGACAAAACGGAGGTTGCATAAATGACAGGTTTATGTATCACCATCTGGATGGAGGTTGAAAGTCCAGGGTAAGGAAACTTTTTTCTAAGCAAATGAAGACAGACCCAAAAACCACATATTGTGTCATCCCATTTGCACACAATTCCAAAATGTGTAAATTCTAGAGATTGTTAATTAGTACTTACATAGGACTGGGACATAGATTGGAAATACAGAGGTGATGTCTAATGGATAAAGAGGTTTATTTTATTTTATTATTTTATTTTTGGTATGATGAAAATTTTCTGAAAGACGCTGTGGTACTGGTTGGGAACTCTATGAAGAACTGTGAAATATATACATTATATACATGTATATAATATATGTGGGCAAACATATGCCATGTGAATATCTTAATAAAACTTTTTAAGATGAGCTAAAGTAAATGTAGTAGAATGTTAAATTTGCCTATATCTAGGTAGCTATTAATTTTCTTTTTTTTTTTTTTTGAGAGGTTTTCGCTATAGGGCGCGTGCGCTCGGCAGACAGACAGAGAGAGACAGAGAGACAGAAAGCGAGAAATCACCCCCCCAGGGGGGATGGTCATGCTGCAATTCCTTCTCCTCCATTCTCCTCTTGGGATCTTGGGCATGCACACACACGCGCCCGGCGTGAGTTCTAAGCCACCGGGTCCGGGACGCAAACCGCGGTTGACTACGTGGGAGTCCAGCAACATAGCCATTATGCTAACTGCTGGTTCCTGGTAGCTACTAATTTTCATCCTATTTCTTTTTTCTACATGACTGAAAAATTCCTAATGAAATGATATCTTTTCTTTTTAAAAATAAAACAAAGTGGTGAATGTGAATGCAGGATGTCTGGTGTTGCACAGAAGAGATGTGGGCTCTGTGGGAAGCTCCCATTTAGGGCAGTGCAAGGAAGAGCATTGATTAGAGGAGGACAGGGCCTTCTCAGCTGGTTCTGAGGACACGTCTAAGGTCTCGGTGGGAAAACAGTGTGATTTGTGTTTCTGAGGCACTGCCTAAGTACTTTCTGAAGGAGAACAGCCTGCTAGCTCGGTGTCAGTTCAAGTAGACATGTTGCAAGTGGGTGGGTCAAGTTATCATGGCTAATTTCTACATCTATATTGATTGTGACCCTTGTAGCCCTATCTTTGTGTTTGAGATTTCTATGCTGCTGATGTTTGCTCTCAGAGAACATCTGTTACACTTCTGAGTGCTTTTAAAAATTCACTCAAAACAAGGTCTTTGGAATGAACTAAGACATTACAAAACACATTCCAAGGAAGTTCTTGGTGAGGAAGGTGGAATCCATCTTATCTCAGAGGACTGAGATAAGACTAGGAGCTGAAGCATCACCTAGAACAGCCTTAATTCAGATACATTAGACGGAAATGAGCTCAAAGAGCACAGGTGTGCACACAAAGCATCCTCAGTGACATCACACCCACAAATCAAGAAAATTGCATGTGGCATGGTGATTAAGGCCCTGGACTCCCATGTGGCTGATCATGGTTTGAGTTCTCGGCCAGTGGCTTGCTTTCTCACTTTCCCTTTCTCTCTGTGTCTGTGTCTCTCTGGTCAAATTAAATAATAATGATGAATAAAATTAAATAAAATAGTTCTTTTTTTAAAAAAAAAGAAAACTGTATATTAAATTCCCCACAAAGATGCACTGGGGCACAGGTGACTCTTGAGAGCCAGTCAGTGTGAGGGTCCTGAGAGGTAATGGGGGCTCCCAAGTGGGGATGTCCCAGGCTTCCTCATTCCTCGTTCACCAACTGGACACAGTACTTGAGATGGTTGCACAAGGGTTTCACAGGCTGTGCCTTCTATTCAGATTACTGGCACTTGACTGAACAATTCCTACGAGACTATGCCCAGTGCTGGCAATGGCTGACAGCTGAACAAACCTGGGGCAAGACTGATGGTTTGTTGGCAGCATGGCCAGGATGAGACTGTCACCAATACTGTCCAGTTCAGAGACCTGGAGAACATCAGGAACTCTGAAGCTCACTAACAGGGCAGCAAAAATAGGGTGGCCACATGGATCTAGACCAGCCTTCATGCTCCTGGTGGCAGGTCTCACTAGTGTTGCCAGCTGGAGTCTCCTTGGAAAGCTTGGCTTTCTCTTGGAGATCTGCTTCCCACTGGGGTTGGGACAGGGCTCTGGAGTTGAGCCTTCCTGAGACACCCAGGATGCACCAGCACCTGGAGCGTGGCCGGCACTTGGCCATCTGACCTATGGAGTGTAATGTTCCCAAGTATAATGGATGTGGTGTTTTCCCGCAAGGTTTGATGTGAAGCTCAGTGAGTTAGCAAGGGCTTCGAGTACACATTGGGGACTCGCTGTGTATGAGCACCATGAGTTGCTGAGGTCGGATGCAATGACATTGTCAGGTTTATAGATCCTCAGTCACTGTGGTTACCATGTCCCTGGTTCTTATTTCACACTCTGCACTTGCAAATTGTCACATCTCTTCCCTTCTGTGATCTGTGTGTTGACATGAGTGTAATGTAAAACTGCTTCATTTCTTTGTGGTGGCCTCTGACTCAAGGACACCAGGTGCCCATCAGGAAGGAAGGGCCTGAGATGTGTGCCCTGTCTTGCTACAGCTGGGGTTCTATGACAGAAAATTACAGATAGCATGGTGGCATAAATGACAGAAGGCTATTTGTCCTTGTCTGGAGGCAGGAGTCCAGGGTAAGTTTCCAGCATGGTCAGGTTCTAGTGAGGGCTCTCTTCCTGGCTCAAAATGGCTGCCTTCTCACTGTGTCCTCACAGGTAGAGAGACAGAGAGAGCTTTGGTTCCTTCATCTGCTCAAAGGGGCTTGATCTGCCCTAGGGCTGCCCCCTCATGTCCTCCTGTCACCTAGTTATGTCCCAGGGCCTCACCTCCAAATGCCATCACAGGGGCTTAGGGCTTTAGCATGAGCACGGTGGGGACACGACCTTTAGTCTGCATCAGTCGACCGCACGGTGCAAACCCAGGGGCAGGTTGTAGGGTATACATGGGGCAAAGGGGGAGGAAGATTAGTCTCTGCCTCTTCCTGGAAACCCATCAGCAGCACCAGGACAGCAGGGCAGATGGCAGGCAGGGGTGGGGACAGGCTCTGCAGTACTAAGCCCCAAGGAGCCACAGGATGATGTCATTCTGAACAAGGCTCAGACACACAGTCATGGACCTAGTTCTCCCCAAATAACTCATGCCACAATCCTACATTTTGAGCGAGGCCACGCCACTCTATTTCCCAAGGAAGGACCCAGATGGAGACAGGGCTTATGACCTGCTCCTATGACCACATGGAGCATGTAGTCCTTGTTCTGGTCTTCACTCCCCACTTTCCTGCAAGTGTGGGTTGAGCTGGGTACAGCACATTGCTGGTGTGTGCAGTGTGGATGCTGACCTTCTAGGACCTGCAGGGTGTGCGTTTCCAAGACTAGGATACTGGAAGCCAGACCTTCCCAGTCCCCCACCATCCAGGAAGAGCCCAAGGTGCTTTGAGGGTCCTTTCAGCCTTTCTCTCTGGCCGCTTCTGGGGAAGCAGGAAGAGAAGCTCCCCTGAGAAAAGTGCTAGGGCTAGGTTAAAGGTCAGAAAATTGGTTGCTAGTCCAGAAGTCAAAGACGCCCAAGAACCTAAGCATCAAAAGGTACTTAAGGGATCAGAGAACGAGGAATACTCAGAAGTTCCCTAAGCCTGTGAAGTTCCTGAGGAAGACGAGGAAGTGTGTGTGGGGATGTCAGAGTCTGTCACTCCCAGCAGTGTAAGAGAGCCAAAAAATGTGCAGAGAAGCCCTCGATCTGTCACTTGGGCTGCCAGAGCCTGGCTCCTCCCAGTCCTGCATCCTCACTGTCCTCCCTCCACTGAGCCAAACAGCCATGAGTGCAGAGGGCAGCACCTGAGAGAATTTCCAACAAAACCATTTTTATTCTATGTACATACAAGGACCAACTAGAGGTTCTGCCTCCCGACCCCCCTAAACACTTCTGCACCCCCAAACATATACCCCACTCATGCCCACCCACCAAATCTAAGGAACAACTAGGTTATTAGGATTGGGGGCTCCCTTGGTCCCTTTGAGGTGCAGCCTGAATACAGCACAACACCTAGTCCAGGCCCTTCCCGAAGATGGCCAGCAGAGACCCCGCACACCCCTACTGGCCGCAGAGCTGCTTCTTCATTTGCCCTGAGGCCAATGCATTCCACTTCCTCTTCTGAGGCTGTGAGGGTGCAGCCAGTCACAGAATCAGGGCTTGCCCTGCAGAAATCCCAAACTCAGGACTCACTTTCAGCTTCTTACTACTAGGGATGGAACCTCCAATGACATCTCGCTTCTTTGACTTGGAAGGCAGATGGGTAGCTGAGCTCAGGCTTCTTCTGTGTGCAGATCGGGCCTTGGTTGCTCCCCGGGGCCTGCAACCTCCAGGATGGAGATGGCCTGCGGTGGGCGCAGGGCTCAGGGCTGGCACCCAGGGCAGCAGGCTGTGCGGGGAGGCCATGAAGAAGGCCAGGCTGGGGAGCTGCTCTTCGTCCTCACTGGACCCATCTGCTGGCCAGCACATCCTCCTGACTGGCGAGGTGCCTACACCGCCTGAGGCTCCCCTGGTCCCCAGGCAAGGGTGAGAGAGTCCGTGTCCCTGGCGTGGAGAGGCTGGCCCAGTGGTGCTTAGTGGGAGTGGCCCCACACGCCCTGGGAAGATATCAGTGTCCTTAGGCCAGAGAAGGTCAGCATCTCCCCTGTGGTGTTCCTCAGAGTCCTGGGAAGCCTTCTTTGGGAGGTGGGTCTCCAAGCTGATCCTGTCATAGGGGCCATGGTCGTGTCTCTCTGAATCTGGGCTGGTCACAGGCTTATAATTACTGGACCCCAATATAGGTGCTCCAGGACCTGGGGCTGCCTCCTCACCCCTGTCCTCCTTCAGGGCCCGGAGGCGCTTCTCCACCAGCTGGGAGGAAGGAGAGTGGATATGAGTTCCTCTGTGCCAGGTGTCAGGAGGGGAGGGGAGTAGTAGAGTGACTTAGGGGAGACAGGGAAGCTGAGAGGTCCCTGGTGTTTTTGTCACCCTGATCTACCTGGTGACCCTCCCCCCTGATTTCCCAGGTGTCCCACGCTCCCTGGTCTACCCAGTGTCTTGGCCTCCCTGGTCTACCTGGGCTCCATCCCCCTGTCCACTGTGCTGTCCCGCTCTCCTTTTTCTGCCTGGTGTCCCTCTGTCCTCTGGTACCTGATCTGGGGTGAGCCTGTCCTCCTGCTCCAGCTCCTCCATTAGAGCCAAGAGATCCATCCCTGGTTTTGGGGAGAGCAGTTCTGCCAGGAATTGGGGGTGAAGGACGGCCTCCACCTAGGGTGGAAGGAAGAGAGCTGTCGGGACCTAGGAAGGAGAAGCCTGGGGCCCAGGGACCAGGAAGACAGGCAGAAAGCACCCCTATCCCATCCCCACACACACTGCCAGGTGACTGTAAATAATGGAGTCCACCTCTTACGCACACAAACTCACACAAACACACACATACAAACATGTGCAGACTGGCACACAGATATTTACATGTAAACACAAAAAGAACCACTGATATATGTACATGTAACATATACATGTATGTGGCCATACAGAGAATTTCACAGAAATGTAAATCACACACACACCCACATACACACTGACACATATGGAAACTACAATAGCACTACCATCCCCATAACCCTGACTCACAGAGACACATACTACAGACACATATGGTAAATCACACACTGAACAAAAGAACACTTAACATACAGAAACATTGAAGACAAAGGAACACAACAAGCTCACACACTCATGGAGAGACAAAGTATTGCACAGACACACCTGGTACCACTCACACATTAACCACAAACACAATCACAGGAACTCTTAGACACACAGAGCAGCCAAAGTAACATACAGATAGACACTCACATACATACACATAGCAGCCACAGTAACACACAGACAGACACATAGACGACCACAGTAGCATGTAGACACACATCTACATGCACAAACATAGACAACCATAGTAGCATAGAAACATGCACCCACATACATGCACACCGATAATCACAGTTGCATACACACATACACCTACATACATATACACATTGCACCTCAGAACGATACAGAATACACCCACATGCACACAGACACTCACTCCCCAGTCAGGAGCTAAGCAGTACAGCTGAGTTACTAGGCCTGGGGGGGCTCCCCAGAACATGCCGACACACTGACACATATGGAAACTACAATAGCACTACCATCCCCATAACCCTGACTCACAGAGACACATACTACAGACACATATGGTAAATCACACACTGAACAAAAGAACACTTAACATACAGAAACATTGAAGACAAAGGAACACAACAAGCTCACACACTCATGGAGAGACAAAGTATTGCACAGACACACCTGGTACCACTCACACATTAACCACAAACACAATCACAGGAACTCTTAGACACACAGAGCAGCCAAAGTAACATACAGATAGACACTCACATACATACACATAGCAGCCACAGTAACACACAGACAGACACATAGACGACCACAGTAGCATGTAGACACACATCTACATGCACAAACATAGACAACCATAGTAGCATAGAAACATGCACCCACATACATGCACACCGATAATCACAGTTGCATACACACATACACCTACATACATATACACATTGCACCTCAGAATGATACAGAATACACCCACATGCACACAGACACTCACTCCCCAGTCAGGAGCTAAGCAGTACAGCTGAGTTACTAGGCCTGGGGGGCTCCCCAGAACATGCCGACACCAGCACCCAGGACAGCCCACCTTGGTGACAAATTCCCCCTGGGAGCACAACTCTTCCATGTAGCTCAGGAGCCCCAGGTCGGGGAATGCCCCATCCTCCTGTCCGGGCTGGACGGCATCCTGTGCCCACTGGCCACCATATCCCAGCAGCCCCTCCATGATGTCCACATACTCCTGCATGACTTCAGGCGGGATGTCCTTTGGCCCCTTGGGGTCTGGCCTCTGAGAGGCTCTGGATGGTGACAGGTGGCTGGGTGTGGCCTCGAGGCAGGCCTTCCTGGGGACACTGCACCCTAGGAGGAGAGAGAAGGACCAGCATGTGGCAGGGGGCTCCAGCTGTCACTCCCACCACATTGGGACTTGGACAGGATGCAAAGGATAGGAGGTGGGACTGGGCTGGACCCCAGGACCCATGAGGGGTGGACATCTACGTGAGGGGCAGGTGGGAGGGAGTTTGGAGCCATCCCTGGCCCAGATTCTCTCCCCATCGGGCCCCTTCCTGGTCAGGCTGTTTGTTGAGTCCTTGGAGAACGAGAAGAGAGTAGCTGAGACCCATGCCCAGGCCAGTCCTCACTTCATGGCCTTGGGCAGTCAAGACCCCAAGATCCCAGTGTGCTCCTTGCTTGCAAGGGCAAATGCCCTCTTTAGTGAACAGTAGGGGACATGGGGACAGGGGCCTCCTCAGACCCTGGGCCTTGGACCTTTTCCAGGCTACTGTCAGCATGTGGGTACATACCTTGTTCCTGGATAACCTCGGGGATCAGGAGCCCTGGGGGGTCAGGCTTTGGTGGGGCCACAGGAGGCAGGTACTGGGAGCCATTCAGCTCCTGCAGCTGCTGAATCTGCATCTCCTCCTCAGCCTCGAACTCCATGAACCTGTGGGGAGGAAGGCCAACCCCTGCTGAGTGGGAAGCCAGGCCCTGACACAGCACCAGGCGGCAGGGAGGGGAGGACATGCCTGGAGTGGGCTGCACAGACCCTAACAGCGCCAGGTTAGGAGGGAGATTCCCAGGTCTTAACCACAGTTTGGGCACACTCTTTTTTTCCTGGCATGTGCAGTGCACATGGCAAGGCCATGGTTTTGAACCAACTCAGCCTGTGCCCTAGGCAGGGTCCTCAGGTCTTTCTAGTTCCTGACCAGAATCACACAAGGGGGCCAAAGGCCTGGAGGTGTATTAGGGATGAGATTTATGTGGATAAACCAGGGACCCATGCCTAGATACAGGACTGAGGCTATACTGTGAGCCCTAGAGGAGAGAAAAAAGAGGAAGGCTGACTGAGAGGAGACTTGTTTCCTCTGAGGCTGTGCCTTATTTGGTATTTGAACAGAGGGGACTGCTATGGAGCAGGGCAGGCAGGCAGGTATGCACTCGGTGTCTGAGAAACTGGCTTCCCCTGACCAACATCTTCCACTCCAGCCCTTCTGGGGTGTCAGATGCCAAATAGAGTCACCAGGTCCAGGAAAACAGTAGGCTGGAGGTTTGAGTTGACCCCTATCCTAGTAGTGACCTAATTGGAAAGCCCTGCCTCCTTCTCCTACTGCTAACTGTCTGTATTCAGGTAGGGATAGACCAAGACCAGAAATGAGTTGGGCCCATGAAGACACTGGAACAGAAAAATCGTAGCCTTAATGTGGTAGGGGCAGGGGCTGAGCATCCCAGGCCTCTGCTACTCCCCAAACTCCTCATGGACTTGTTTCAAAAGCCCCCCCCAAGACCCCCATGTCACCCATCTTCACCCACCACACGGCCCCGTTGCCCAGGACCCCAGACTCACTTGGCCGCCATCTCATAGTATTTCCTGCGGTCAAAGGAGCTTGTGCGCTGCCATTCCTGCATGGCCTGGGACAGGCCCTCTTCCAGCGACATGGTAGGCGTCAGGCAGGACAGGGACCGGAGCACTGGGCTGTAAGTGTCGGGGGTTAGAACATTCTAAAGTCCCACCCCACCCCCAGCTAACTCACCCACACACACCTCCCTTGCCCTGGGCCTCATCCCTTCTGTGCTCCTTGGACCCTAGCATCTCCTCGTCAGCACCAGTCACTGCAGATGGCCTTTGATGTCCATGAGTCCCAAGTGTCTGCATCTCTGTGCTCAATGTAGTGTTCCCCAAATTCCCGTGCTGAAGGGGCATTCTCCAATGTGATCTTTCGGGTTCATTGGGAGGTGCTAGGATTGTTTTCTCCTGTACATATTACATGGGGTTTATTGACAGAGATTGGTTGTGCCAGATGGGTGAGGGTCAGTTTAGGTCAGTCACCTGACCGTGCACCATGACTGGAGGGACGTTAGGATTGCAAAGAAGGTAGCTCTGCCCAGCAGATGTCATCCCCCTCTGAACCTGTCCCCAGGCTCCCCCACTGACTTCACCTCCTCATCCATCCCTGTCTTCTTTCTATGGGTGAGCGCAAAGAGAAGTCCCACTCCCCTGCAGCAGGTACTCACATGAAGAAGCAGGACAGAGCCTCGCCATCAGGACTCTGGGGCAGGTGGCTCCTGGCCAGGGTCTTGAAGCGCTGCCAGCGTTGGAAGTTTTTGTAAACACTCCTGGGGTTGCAGGAGTCGTCGAGCGAGGCCTTGGCCTGCGAGGCGTCCAGGTGGCCATCAGCAAAAGCCATTTGTGGCTGTGACCCAGTGGCCGCTGGGGCCGTGATGGGAGTGATCTGGGCCACCAGGGCTGGAGCTGGAGCTCCAGGTCTTCCTGGATGACCTTGGACACCTCGATGTTTGGAGCACGCGG